AATTATTTAAGAATGTAATTATGTAAGAATGTTAACACTCTGTTATATTTTTTTAGTATATTACTTGTGTGGTGTAGAAGATAATTATTTATGTAGAGATACTGCTTGCAAACCAATGATGTAAGATGATGTCATGGGGTAGGACTGGATAAGTCTGACTTCTTCCTACTCCATTCAAGCATGTACTAGGTATAAGCAAATTGATATTGGATTAGCATTTGTTGGATATGTGTAAAATTATGTGTGATGACATATCAACTGTCTTTACATGCTTGAAAGAATAAATCAAGAATAAAGAATAAATCAAAAACTCTGAGGGTGAACAAGAGACCATTCTTTGCAAAGGTCTTTTATGGACCGAGATACACCTTTATCAAAAGCCAGTTGTTGATAGGATTCTTCAGACTGAAGGACCTGAGTAAAGAATTTTAATTCCTCTCTCCTTTTTTCCCTGCATCTTTTACTCACATCTTATGTGGGCGCGACTAAGACGCAAGGAAAAGGTGCAAGTGAGGGAACCGTGGATGAGATTAAGAGAACTGAGATGTACCCCTTGTTTCCCAGTCCGCATTTAGTGAGTGAGAGTTACAGACAGAATAATTAATTGGCCTATGAGTCATAAGCCCAGGGGCCCCAGGTCTAGGGCCTCTGTTTGAGATGACTGCATTTCTTGTTGTAAAGGCAGTCAAATGACCACCAACAATGTGCCAGTTATTTTGTGTGTTTTTTAGTTTGGCTGTCTTGGTATTGCTTACACCAAAAACATCAAAAAACAAAAACAAACAAAGGAAGAAATTAATATGAGAGCAAAGCATACATAATTTTAATAGCACAGTTAATAGTGAGCAAACAGTAGAATACTGTGTGTATCAAGATACTATATCTACATCTATGTGAAAATCTACTAATTTAAATGTGTACATTTTACATTAGTCTCTTGAGTTACATTTCTGATATTCAATTCAATTCAATTATTCAATTATTTGTAGAGCCAGTTTACAACAAAAATGGTCTCAGTACACTTTATATAGTAAGGGCTATACCTTACAGTAACCCAACACATCCCCCTTGAGCAACATGCAGTATGGTTAAAGACAGCACAGATGTGGTATCTGCAGTACATATAGATATCTGAACATTGCTCTTGCAGATGCAGTTCACAAAGAATACAACATATTTTCTTCCTTTTTCAGATTAACTAAATGTCACTATATGTTATTGCTGTGAACAATTTTTAATATTTTTCCCTCTTTAGTAATAAATAGTTCTTAGTAACTGTCCACCAAGGCGGGGTTACCAACCAGACTGAACACACAAGCATCCTGGCATCTTCAAAAATCCAGATTTCATTGTCTGACAATAATATTCAATAGATTTTTTTGCAACTTTGTGTTAGGTTAGGGGGCTGCACACTAACTACTGCATATCAACAAACATGATAACAAGGGCCCAGAAACTCATTTTTGCCCAAGGGCTCAACAAGCAGGTTAATCCAGCAGTCTCACTGTGAAGTGTGTGAATGACCCTAAGTATAGATATGGTCATTGTTTTTGAAATGTAAATTTCCAAAGCTGTGAGCATCACAAATTTAGTAGGCTATAAGTCTTTCCTTATATGATCCGAGGACAGTTGGTGTTCTAAACTGTACAGATTGTAAAGCCCCTTTTAGTACATTTGTGATTTGTGAAAAGAAAAGCAAAAAAACGTTATTGGTCCCCAAGGGAGAAATTCACTTATTTATATTTTAGACTATATACAAATAAAACTTGACTTGATGTAATGATATGGAGAAAGTATGATAATAACAACACGTGTTATTATGATCGATATGGAAAATGTGGCTTGGTAATGGTTTTAATTTGCATCCTGCACTCTATTCACGTCAAACAGAAATGGGTGTACTGTCTCTTTAAGGTTCGCTGCTCGCTCCGTGCCAGCCTCGCGCTGCTTGTTTTTTCTGCAACAAGATGGCTGTCGTTCTAGAGAGCAGAGTTCTTACTTTCAGCGTTTTTAAATGGAGCTCTTATTCCTCTACATATTTACCCGAGTGAGTAATGCACACAGTAGCTGGCCCAGGGTATGCACTGAGGCCAGTGGGTACAGCTTTTATAGCCACCGTGCAAAAGTGTTTCTTCCAGCCGGCCTGACTAGCCTAGCTCGTATGTGCTTCGAGACAGCTAGCGTTAGCTTTGTGAGTAGCGCAAGGGGCACTTGTTTTGAATACATTGCCGCACGGTATGCATGCTACTGATGGTAATTTGAAGCTGTTATTGTAGCTTAACAGTGGTTTACCAAAGGTATATCAGACAAAACACTGTTTAGATAAGTCTTTTAAACTTATCGTTAGTTGCTAATGTCATGTTGCATGTGTTGCTAATGTTTAGTAGATGTTAGCGTTTTTCTTCTGCACTGTCCGTCCGTTGTGTAAAGTTAAATATGCTTCTCTTGAAAATAGCTTGTTTTGGATCAGCAGCCCTCAGTACTTCGTTTAGGAACTAACCCAATTAAGCAACTTTTATGCATTCTCAGCCTAATGAGTTGTTAAGACAGTGCCGTCATTTAGAATTTGTTACAGTAATGTGCAATCCGGTACCTTTGTATGTTGACATCGAACGTCCACCTGGAGGTTTCGAGCGCTAAAGTGGGTAACGCCAACTAGCTACTGTCACCTAACCTTTGCTTTAGCAACAGCAGCTAACCAACTTATTTACTGGCTACCTGAAACTGCTGTTAGGAAGCCAGCTGCCATACACACATTATCACTCCTAAATGTCAGACTTTCCATGTGAAGTCACTAATAGTTTTAGAACATTTGCCTGTTGCTGGTTCAGCACTCAGATACAGTTTAGTTGTAGCTCACGGCAATGCTAGCTAGTTAACAACAACATTCTGCGAGCTTATGGCACGCCTACTAGAACAATCCAACTGGGCCGCATAAACAGCAACAGTAGTGTTTATGACACCTTTATAGTTAACATCTAATTTATATACGAGTACACGTAGTCCGGTTTATTCTACGCTATAATGAATTATGATACATATGCCATAACTTTGATGTAATGCTGGCTGCTGTGTCTCTAGTTTGTGTTACTGCTGATGTACCACAGCTAAATAAACGCTTCCCTTTTCTCTGATTATTTTTAGGAATATCTTGGTGGATAAACCAAATGATCAGTCTTCTAGGTGGTCTTCGGAGAGCAACTACCCTCCACAGGTAGGTCTACTGTTGCACAGACAAACTGTCTCTTCATGTGACTTCACTCTGCCAAATGGACAACACATAACAGCACTTTAACATGATTATTGCCTGTGCATTGAGTTGTACAGGCAATAATGGGTACAAGGTCTCTCAGTGAGAGAGAGAATAGTTTGGGGGAGACAAATAACACTTCCTCATATTTATAGCATTAATCCATCTACCTTTTTTATGATGGCAGCCTTTTCACCCTTCCTTCAAGAGTGCCCTTTGTAACAGCTGTAAAAAACACTTTTGCTTTTTGTTGTGGGCAGACTACATGTCCTACAAACTAGTTCTGTTCAAGCATAACCCAACCCTTAGAACCATCGTTTATGTCAATCTAACCGAAACAAGCTATGCTAGTGGCTCTGTAAGTTTAAGCTTGTTTACACAACAAAAATGCATAGATATAAATATTAAAATGCAAAAATAAGGCAAAATGTCTTTTTATTGACTAAGTCTAATACAAATTAAATGACTAAAATAAAGTCTGTAGAGCTTACTCAAAATGTGGTGGAAAAACAAACAAAAAAAAAACATCCTGTGATTGGCAGTCCTGAGGATGGAAGTGCTTTGTTGATGAGAGAGGTCACAGGAGAATGTCCAGACTGGTTCAAGCGGAGAGAAAGGATATGCTAACTTATACTAAAGTGATTGTAAAAGTGAAAAGTGCATGGGCTACAACAGCATAAGACCGTGCTGGGTTCCTGTCAGCCAAAAACAGTAACCTGAGGCTGCAGTGGGCACAGGCTCACCAAAACTGGACAGTTCAAGACTGGAAAAACATAGCCTTATCTGAGGAATCTTGATTTCTGCTCAGACACAGATGATTGGGGCAGATTTTGGCTTCAGCAGCTTGGCTACGTACATTGCTGGTGGTGGTGTTATGATGTAATGTAAGGATTTCTTGGCACACTTTGGGTCCCATACCACTCAATTATGGTTTGAGTGTTTCTTAATTTGAGACTTGTTGCTGATCATGTGCATTGCTTGATGGCCACAGTTTACCCATTTTCTGATGGCTACTTACAATATGATAATGTGCCATGTCACAAAGCAGAAGTTGTCTCAGACTGGTTTCATGAACATAACAACGAATTCAGTGTAATTCACTGATTTCACCAGTAAAAGGAATATCTTCATGCCACAAAGAACTGAGGCGGTTTAAAGAGCAAAGGGACGCTCTACCCAGTTTCTAGTAAGGTATTTCTAATATAGTGCTCGGTGAGTGTATTTACGTAATTTCCAATTTGTAACATTTGGGCTAAAAAGTCATTTCTTTAAATCAATCATAAACTGAATGATAGGATAATGGATTTACAATTAGAATATCAGTAAGTGTGAGTGTGATTTAGATCCCTGTGCAATCTTGTTCTCACGTCAAAGGTCAAAGTCAAGGTCAAAATGTTTATTTGTCATATGCACAGTTAGGAAACATGTTTCCCTGTACAATGAAATTCTTGCTTTGCTGTCCACATGAATGCCACATAATACAAGTGAAATATAAAGTAGATGAGCAGTAACATAAATCTAAGGCACTTGAAAGTAGCAAGTGAAGGGAGCAAATAAAAAGTTTTTCAGTCTAGAGGTCCTGTATTTCACACTCCTCAGCCTCCAACCGGAGGGTAGGGGTATAAACAGTCCGTGCTGGGGGTGGGTGTGGTCTTTGAGGATGGAGGCAGCCTTCCTACGTACCCTGCGGTGGTAAATGCTCTGCAGAGAGCGCAGTGGAGTCCTGGTGATCTTCTCCGCAGTCTTTACCACTCTCTGCAGGTGCTTGCAGTCCATAGCAGTAGTGCTGCTATACCAGACAGTGATGCAGCTGGTCAAGATGCTCTCAATGATGCAGCTGTAGAAGTTGCAAAGGATCCTAGGCGACATGCCAAACCTCCTCAGCCTCCTCAGGAAGTACAGCCACTGTTGGGCCTTCTTGACCAACTGTGTGGTGTTAAGT